AATAATCCAATTATCCAGGGATAGAGGCAGACTCCATTGAGCACATGTTCCCAGTAAAACACAAAGGGATACAAAAATACATAACTCCTATCATACTGAATTGAACGGGCCAAATCTCCCAGGGTCCATAGTCACAGGGCAAGAGGCGGGCAAGCAGTCCACTCCAGGCACAAGTGGCGAAGGGCACTTCGTCACAGTAATAAATCCATGGATAAAGTAGCAGGGAGGGAAAGTATCGAATGAATGGAGGGGGATTCTTCACAATTTATCTTGGCTTGTTTACCTTAAAATCTATTCTTAAATTTTATAAAATAATGTCAAGCTCCTTATAGATCAGTATGCTTATGTTGTAAGCGCTACTTTAGACACACAGGAACGGTCAGGAATTGCTAAATTTTAGGTCAAAATGGAAAATTTTTGAGTTGTTTTATTTTCTCCCAAGTATTGCAATTTGGTCCAAGATTTGAAATTCCCCTCATCAATAAATAAAGCCACCCACACGGCCCGAGTTCTGATATAAAATAATTAGACAACCTATCATCACTTCTTTTCACAAAACTGACAGCTTTATTTACTAGCGTGTGAATGGCTGGGAATGTAAACTGAATTTCAATTTGAAAGAAAGAAAATAGAGATAAGATAAATTCTCTTATCCGGCTAAATTTTCAGATTGGCTAGTTTGACCTAGAATTTGGAATTCACTATGAATTCCAACCAATTCTCTCTTTAGTGAATAATCTTGTTAAAAAAAAAAAAAAAGAATTCTAAAAAGAAATTTTGTAAATATACAACATTGTCACAAAACCAATAAAATGAAAAATTTCCTGTGGACATATGCACTGAAAATAAAAAATAAACTCTAAAATTCTAAACTCTAAAACTCTAACTCCCACCTGTCTATCCTCCCTAATACACAAGTATGTCCCGTCTATGCCCTTACGATCTGCTGAAAACTTACGTCTATCTTCTGTCTGTACTCCCACCTCTGATGTTTGCCTTCAAGATTTCTCGAGGGCTGCACAGTTCCTGTGGAACTCGCTTCCCTCCTCCGATAGATGTTCATCCAGTGTCAACTCAATCAAAAATAGTTAAAAACCCACTTCTTCATAAAAGTGTATCAATTAAACTGTTAATAGCTCCTGGCTGATTTCTCTCTTGCAACTGTCATTAGTCTAATACTATCCTCTTTCAGTGTTTCTTTCTCTGGCTCTGCTTCTTCTCCCCAACTCCTCTCTGTTGGTGTCCCCCAAGGTTCA